TTCATTCCTGCTTGATCCTACATCGGATCACTGCAAGTCGTGGAATGGCAGTTCAAGATGGATGCATCAAGCTAGGAAGCTCCTACTCCCACAAGACTAGAACATGAAGATGGAGAGGCTTTGTTAATCTTGTGGTGTGTGGAAAGCCAGTCCCATGCCAGCCCCTGTCCTTTTATTTATTGCCTGTTGTAGGACTCTGAGAACTGGACAGCCAATGCTGCTCATCAGTACCTGTCCCCGGCAGAGGTAACACTGGAAACAGGACAGTTCCATGGTCAGCATGACTATGAGTCTGCTGCAAAACACAGTTGTGCAGCTCTGATAACCCCCTCTCTCAGCCTAGAGGCACAGGAATGTGACACCCTCCCTAAGTTTCTCTCCAGAGGTGTAACTTTTGCCAGTATCCTTTTTATCATTGCAGAACAAAGGCTGAGGCCAGGGAGCGTTTACCAAATTGCTGTTACTAACTACATCTCTCCACAATGGAGATAAACATCCCAATCAAACTTCTACCCAAGGTGGTTCCTTATTTTGAGCTCGGAGGAATTAAACAGTGGTTAATAGAGGGCAGCTATGCAGCAGACATTGGGAATTCAAAGACAGACTGATACTGGAGACCCTATTTACTGAACAGACAGAACACCTCTTCCCCCACCAGCAAACAGCGTGTTGACACTAGGGCAGCTTTGCAGTACCAGAATACCCAGGTGGGTCCCTGCAAAGAGGAGAGCTCTCCAACAGAGGTGTTGGGGCAGTCGGGTGCTCTGGTGCCTGCTCTCCCGTCCCTGCTGCTGGAGGCAAAGGCACATTTGTTCTCTCTAGCATGCATGACTCCTTAACACCAAGTGGAACATGCCAGTTCCCTCTTAGGCTGTGCTGTGATGGATAGCACAGAAGAGCGATGTCTGCTCAGCTGGAAGGAGAGGAGTGTGGGTTCTGTGTCCTTTTCCCCTTCTCCAGGAGGGCGCAGGAAGCCGGGGCTGCCCGCCTCGGTGCAGTGGTTCCTGCACGGCCCTAGTTCTGCGACAGAGCTGCTTTTGCTGCTTTGGAAGTGCCCTGATCGCTCCAGCGCAGGAGCAACTTGGCTGGAATTGACCCCAGAGAGCTAACCCAGACAGGCTGATGGTCTCGGAGCACGGGCTGCTGCTTTGGAAGTGCCCTGATCGCTCCAGCACAGGAGCGACTTGGCTGGAATTGACCCCAGAGAGCTAATCCAGACAGGCTGACGGTCTCGGAGCACGGGTCGCATCACTGGTGTTCCTGAGCAGGGTCACCCCAGGGGAGCCCCAGCCTTCTCAGCAGGACGAGCTGCTGCGGGCCATAACATCTCTCATCTGGTAACAGCATTACCGGTACTGTGTACAGCCAGGCTAGAACAAAGAAACGCTTTGACTGTCTTTTAATCAGATTTGTCTATTTTAAGCTACAACTGATCTATTTTTTTGCATCTTCTGTATGAAAGGCTTTATTTAAAGGAGACAGGGGAATGTAACAGGAAATACCAGTGCAATGCCTTACTAAGCACCAAGAGATTCTTGCTCCAGTGAGCTGAGCAGAGACTTCAGTAGCAGCAGAGCTCTTGGAAACTTGTGACAGGCAGCCCCGGCTCCATTTGGCACAGCCTGAGATTAAACACCTTGCCCTTCCCTGCTAGCTTGGAGCAGTTCCAGGACGTAGTTTCCTATAAAGCCAGCACCGGAGTGTGACCTGGGAGGTCCCTTCCAGTCTTGTGCTTCTCCAAGACATAGAGAACTTTGAAGTTTACTGACATACCTTGGTCTATCCAACCAGGATAGACCAAAGATAGAGGAACAGAGCCTTGCATGCTTACTGCTGCCAGCTTATTTCTTTGAGGAACTGAAGGATTTAAAGTACAGGATGAGCTGGTTCAAAAAACAGCCAGTCTGCTCTGACGATGCATTTAGAGTAAGGCAGTAGTAGGTTGCTATCATGCACAGCATGCAGGAACATGCCATTCTACCACCTTGCAGTTCAGGCTTAGGCTAACATCTACTGGGGGCATTTGGGGTATGAAAGGCAATAGGATCCCAGAAGGTGTCTCTGGAAGCTCTAAACCATGCTGGAGCCCCACACAGAGCTCACCCCAGTCTCTAGTCCACTAGCAGCCCTCCATCCATCTTCATGGACAAGTCACACTCCCCTTGGGGAACCCAGAAAATAAACAAGATCTGGGGCTTTGCCTCCATGGATCCACTCAGAAGGGAAAGTGCAGCTCACCCAGACAGAGTCAACTCCACAACAGGCTCCAAACTTCCCACCCTCCCTCCTGACAGGGCTGTTCCCTCCAGCTGGGGCTATTCATGGGAAAACCCTCTGTTCTTGCTTCAGCTCTGATCAGAGCTCCTGCTCAGACCCCAGAACAGGCAGGCAAGGGGCTACTAGAGGCTGATGCGTGGCACATGCAAAATCGGAGCAGGCAGGGCCTTTGCCACAGGAGCAGAACTGAATTGCATCACCTCTGCTCCTGTCACACTGATGCAGGGCTCTCAGAGTTGTCTTTTATTACATACTCATGAACGCACGCCTGGTTTGCCTAGGAAGTCTCTCACACCTAGGTGCAGCCAACCAGCCCACGGGGCAGGCTCTTCCCAAGCCGCTGTCAGAGTTGCACTGAACCGTACAGCTGCAGAATCGGGGCTGGGGCTGACAACAGCAACATCCCACTGATCCTCCCCGCACGTGTGCAGGCACACGAGCAGGAAGGAGGCCGCAGCACCCCGCCACCCCCTAAACACCACCAGCACGCCCAGAAGGTTTGAGCACAATTTCAGCTGGGTACTTACTTTTTCCACCTCGTCGCTCCAAAGCTGTAGGGGCCACAGAGCAACAGGAAAGGAGATCAGTGTTGGAGACGTCGAGAAGCACTCGGCATTAACACCAATTGGCAAAGACGCTCCCATGGACACAGCAGCCCAACTCCGGGGACAAGCTAGCCCTTCACCCAGCAGCAGCTGCCAAATTGATGCCCCTTCCCCTCATTCTTGCACCCTCGAGCTCAGTTTCACAATGGGACAGCTAGTCTATGCCACCAGAGCCAGCAGCACTCCCTGTTACAGCAACCGCACTCAACAGGCTCCAGGAAGAAAAGGCTTAAGCAGCAGAGCCCTCTGAACAGCAAGGGTTACTTTGCTGAAGCCTGCAGAGGGTGAAGGACAGCCCTTCTTTTAGGATTATAGAAGCCCACAAACAGCACCTGGGAACAGCCGTGAGCTCAAGCCGGACAGAGGCCAGTGTTCCTCACCCACTGGTCTGGAGAGCTCAGGTTAATGGGATCAGAATCCAGCCAGTCTGCACAACCACAGGCACGTTTAGCTACAGGGAGGAGGAAGCAATGGCTGGATGCTGCCTTTGAACCAGGCAAAACATTGTGCTGCTCCTTCCTACTCTCCTCACCCACAGGGGCACATTTGGGGCAGCACAACACTGCCAGCTGCTTGCTGGGATCTGGCTCCAGGACATGAAACAACTGACAGCAAAAATCAAGCACAGCGATGGGAAAGGGAGAGAAGAGGTAGAAAAACACATTGAGCCTTCCCAGAGGTCCTCAGCTTGGCCTTTCCTCAGCAGACTACTCCCTCAGCCCTGGCAACATGAAATCACCCTGGATCAACTGGAACTACACCTGCCTGCCAGCAACACCCTAAAGCAGTGGGGTCAGGGGGAGATGGCCTCTGAGGCCCTCAGCTTCACCCTCTGATGGACCTTTGCAGATCAGGGAACTTCACCACTGCACTGCTGAATTTGCACTGCAGGCACCTGGGAGCCTCATGTGGGATGCTGTGGTGTGGGAGGGAGAACACGCTCTGCTTAGAGCCAGGGTCTCCCAACTGAAGCTTGTTGCGGTCTGCTCACTAGCAGCTGCCCTCAGGTGGGCTCTGGTAGCCACAGGTGCAGAGACAACTTCACCAGCCAATATAAGGAGCACCCGCAGCAGCTGCCTGCACTGGTGGATTGAAGCAGGAGGGTGTTTTGCTAGGCTCCTTGGCTTGCTGCCTGCTCCTGTTTGGGTTTCTGCTGGCCTGCAGCTCAGCTCCTGTTCTGTGGTATGTAGCCTGATGGGCATCTCTTCTTACTTGAGTGGAGTTATTGTGGCTGGTCCCCTTAGGACTGCAGGCTGCCCCTGTGCAGTGTACTGAGCCCAGTGTTTTCTGTGAACTTTCAGTGGATGTTTTGTTACTGCAAATCAGAAACTGGCTCAAATGAGGTCTGGGTAATTTCAGCTGCGTGGGGGATGTAAGGCCCTTCCCTTAGACTAAGAGTTCCTGCTCTGGAAGGCAGATGGTGGGAAGATCCCTACAGGCAGCTGAGAAGCAGGTCCTAGCCTGAACTGCTGCTCTGGCACAAGGCCTCTGTCAGCACATCCTCAGGTTTTTGGAGGAAGGCTTGCTGCAGGGGCACTGGGAAGCTTTCACTCTGGCCACAGGTCTTCCTACTGAGATGCTGTAGGTGGTACTTTAGCTATTTCAGGCCCATTTAATTGTTGTAGTACCCATTGAATTTGTAGCCAGATTTGTTTCCCTTCTGTTGGCCTTGCTGCACCATCGCCAGGCATGACCCTACGGTGCTCTGGGGTCTCCAGCTTTGCCAAGATCTACCCCTGGGCTAAGGCACTATGCGGCTCTAGTCAGAAGTGTTTCAGGCAATTCAGGGCACAGAACAGGCCATGATCTGCACCTGTCTCCCTCCACCCCAGCTCAAGCCAGAGGAACCCTCTTTAAGGTACTCAATATATTTTTCTTGGAA